CACGTCCCCGTCCCACTTTTAGTCACAGCCACGTGGAACTTCGCCCGGAGTTTAGCTCGTCCGAAGATATGTGGTACTGTACGGACTGCTCTTTTCCATTTGACTTCTCAGATTCTTTTTTTGAAGATTATATCAGCTTTAAGGAAATTAATGACACTGATCTTCAGTCTTCGATCACAACCGACAACATTATTAATGGTGAACGGAATCATTTCCCAAAAGTGTTGGTTCTTAATGCTAGAAGTATGCAGAGCAAAGTTTTTGACTTACAACCCTTGTTGCTCACAGATTCATTTGATATCATTGTTCTTACTGAGACCTGGCTTGATGGTAATTATCAAGATTGAATTTAATCTCGATGGTTATAACGTGTTTAGAAAAGATAGATGCAATCGTCGAAGCGGTGGGGTTCTTTTAGCTGTCAGAGATTATATTGTTATTTTATTGAAAGCTCAACCATCTGAATCTCTAAGCCAAAAGTTGGAAGGAGCAAAATTTAAAAGTTAATAAGATCAGAGTATCATAAATATCTAGAACACCTTTCTGATGTCCTTAAGGAACATTGGTCTTATCATTCCATAAAGACTAAGTCTAAAAGACTTCTTCTGCAACTAAACCACAGGAACAAGCTAATCTGTATAATATTCATTTTTATTCTGTCTTCTGTAAAGAAAGTTTTGGTGCACTTTCTATTTTGGTGCATAACATCCAGAATGATCAGTGTGCTAATCAATATAAGACTGTGTTATGTAATGCATATGAAGTTAAAAACATATTACAAAAGCTTGATGCCAGCAAGACTTCAGGGGTAGAAAAAATTCCAGCCTGCCTGTTGAAAGAGACAGCACATATATCTGCAGCCCCACTTAATATGCTTTATAATTTGTCTTTCGAGAAGAGTCAAGTTCCTTTATGGAAATATGCCAATGTTACTCCCATTCATAAGGAAGGTGATCAAGAGCCAGTTGAACATTATAGAGGCATTTCACTATCAACCATCACAGGAAAGTATCAAGAAAGATTAGTATGTAATGCAATTTATGGACAAGTTATTGAGTTTATTCATAGTTCTCATCATGGATTCCTAAGGGGTAGATCTTGTAAAACACATATTCTTTTGGTACATCATGACTGGTCTAAAGCCCTTGATAACTGTGGACAAGTCGATGTGGTGTTTATCAATTTTGCTAAGGCCTTTGACCTTGGGAATCACACCATTCTTCTGACTAAGTTATACAAGTATGGAGTTGGTGGTAGTCTTTTGGAGAGACTATCTTA